AATAATTTTTTATCACAAAATACCTTATTGTGGCTTATGTATAAGAAATAGGCATATGGTAGCACGGACTTTTTTAGGTGGGCAAAGACCAATATTTTTGTAGAACATTGTATTTATGTAATACTAAACGTTACGCCAGCGCACGCGGATAAAGCAGTTTGAGAGCGCCTTTTCTTCCGACTTGCTTAACAAAAATCAATATTTAAAGGTAGCTGAGAGTTATAGGCTAATGCTAGATAGCCTATACTATTTCTCATGAATCTGGCTATTATATACAAAAAGAGTTTTTCGAATCGGACTGGTAGTTCCAGAGATTAGCGCGTTTAAACAAACAAAAAAACTCTTCCGCTTTATTATATTATAATTATATAAGTATAGATTAGGATTAAATATCTAGTTCGCAAAACTGCGATAAATCTAAGAATAAGACAGCTATATAATAAAGTGTACCTTTTTAAGGAGCAGTAACTTATTTAAATTTCTGTGTTTATTTAATAGTCACCATTTTATAAATTCATTCCTTTTTTTATTGACTTACTAAAACCTACCATATATCTTACTTACCTACCCAATATTTTCTATATACTTACCTATTACTTTAACTAATTAAAATTATAAAAATTAAATTAACACATAAGCGTCAATCATGGCGCATCACTATTTAACCGCTTAATCTATGTATCAGTTTCCACAGAACATCTGTCTGTGAAGAGATGTTGCATCTCATTCCATTTTCCACGGGGAGTATTTAGACAAATTGTTCGGATTAATTCCAACCGCCAAATTCCACCAACGTGCATCGGGACAAAACTCACTGTACCATCCATACCATCGGGGTGTTTGGCGGTACACCATGATTATGTGATTTATAAGGACTTTTCTTCCTCGCAAAACTTCTTTGTGGAATCATCTACCACCGGCAATTTTTCCGAATTAATACGACATCAAAAAACGAGCTTACTTCTTTTGAAAAGGCCGCCAACGCACCTACAATTTCTCTGGTGTTGCAGTTGTTCATGGGCGATGGTCGACACTTACTACTAGCAGGAAAATTTGATTTAATATGGGCAAAAACGCGGGGTGGAAACCTAGTGCTGGGGGGGGCTTACTCATTTAGCCTAAGGCTGTCGCAACTTTAAATCAGGCACAAGCGGAGCCATGGGTAAAAGCTTGTAGGTATTTAAATAATTTGAAATACAGTCTTACTCGGTATTATCTTTTATTTGTGGATCCTGCATCCCAAACAGTCCTAGTAGACAATAGATAACAACTCATTAGCAGATATATAGTAGGTATCCAGACTTATTGTGAAGCGCTGTTACGTGCTTAACATCTGTTAATACGATCTCCAATTCACCTTATACTTGATTTCTTGTATGGGAAAAGGTAAAACCCATGTGTAGGAGTGTATTTAGCGGGTTGATGATGATGTATAAAATATTTACCTACACACAGTGCTTCCTTTTGTTGGTGGTGTAAGAAAGAATGAGTCCATCCATCCATTTCGTCTCGTGGGTGACGTAAGATACGACTATGGAAAATGGCATCCAATAGATTTACCAAATCGTTTATTCATTATAGCCTATAAAAGTCCACTGCTGATCATAAGCCTCTCACATAAGATTGTTTCGTAGGGTGAATTTCGCCATCAACTAGTTTTTATTTTTATTTTGGGTTGTTATCAGGAAGATCTTGCTGCCAACTCCTGTTTCAGTTTCCCTCTGTAGTCTGCCTGACGGACAATATGGGGCAGTGGATATTCTTACACCGCCATTACACGATTAATCTCGTTTAAGCCAAACGTAAAATACTCAGATCAGCGACGGACAAGCAGCATTAAAGGTACGACACTTCTGTTTTAGGGTTGGGTAAAAATATCAATATATTGATATTTTCTCAAAATATCGATATATAGTGTCGATATTTTGAAACGCGATGTATTGATATTTAGAATATCGAATTCATATCAATTTCGATATATTTTAAAATGTTGTATTAATCGACAAAACATTAAGCAACAAACACAGTTACAGAAGCATTCATGTGCTGTTTCTTTTCGTCGTCCAACCGTCCAGTAATACATTTTTGAGGCTTATCCTACTACATCATGCAAAACGTGACGATGTATCGATACTGTTTAAAAGTATCGGTATATTTTTCTCACTTGGCCATCCCTAATCTGGTACCACGGCTACCAATCCACTTACCTAACGTATTCAGGCAAATCCTCCCCATAACGGGAGGCCTGTATCCACCAGTAGACTTCTATGGTACGATAAACAAAGAAGCAAAATAGAGCTTCACTTAACGTTCAAAAATCATGAGGTCCTATATTTGACGCGGTCGGCTGTTAAAAAAGATTTTTATATAAGAAACTGGCTCCAGTCGCAAGCGCCAGGCCACTAACGCAGTCGATTTGACTGAAATCGACTGTTTCTTAGAGTATATAATAATATATTGTCACGTGCGGGGTGAGTAAAATGCCGATTGTTATGAGAAATGGATGTATTTTTCACACACACAGCAAATGTACAATCACGTCGTTCAGAATCGCTAAGCATCTTCGATAAGGACCTTAATGATACAGATCATAAAGTGATGCAATTCGATTTCCCGTAGTAGTTTCTCCGAATACAGTTCTCTATGGCGTTCCCGAAATAATTAATTCTCCGATCGTCGGCGCTCGCTTTTATTATTTAATAATAGAAATATAGAACATTCTAGGTAGATCTGGTTCATCCAAACATTACCCTCTTTCCAAAAAATTATTCTTGTAGAATAAGTGTGTCAAATGAGCAGCAGTCCACCCGATGGTACAAGTCGCGGCACGTAAGTCTAGCGCTGAACGAAATGTGGAGGAGACGCGCACGTATTGAATTGTACGATTGCGACTGGAGAGCCAATCAGCGCGACTTATGCGCAATAACGGTCACCGCTAGACTTTCGTGCCGGTAATTATAAGTAGATGCTGTAGATCATACATATTTACATTTTACCTAAATTAATAATTAAAATGCAGATGCGTTGTCACCCCTGCGGACTAGGATGGAATGCCTCGACTCCAGTAAAAAGGTTCTCCGGTTCACCACACTCACATGTACCTATACTTTTAAAATATCTTAGGAAACTGGAGTTGGATTACAAAAAATTTGGACAGATAATTACAACAATAAGACTTAACCATTTATTTATAAAGAATAAAATGTGGTGTTCACTTAATTATTTAATAGCAATAAAATGTTATAATTGTTACATTGCGGAATATATGATATCCTATTTATTAAATTTGGATCTATCTTCACGAATTATCCGCGTTTTAATTACATAATATTGTATGGTTATTAGATATTAAAACTAAATGTATTATGTTAGACTGATGAACGACGAAATGAATACTTTAATAAAACAAAAAAATAACAAATCAATTTGATTATGGTCTTAGCACGAAATTGGCTAATCTCAAAAAGTAACTCATAATTATAGTGAACAGGTACATAAGACCTTGTATAACATACTCTTCTTATGGCTTACTAATTTTATTGATATCAGATAGACCAGTATGTTAAATTATTATTAAAAAAACGAAGAAAAACTGGATGTCTGACATAATTGTCTTTTATTGAAGAAGTTACCAACCAGACCTATTTTGAGTATATAATAAAAAAGAACATTTTCTTCATAATTTGATTACAATGTATATATTATCATATTTTTATAATTAAATATCTTCTATACTATACGAATAAATTAAAATTATTATTAACGTAAGTTATTATCTAGCTTCTAAATAAAACAATATATTGTATTAAGTTAAAAATGCTTTACAATTTAAAAAAAAATAATCTGCCAAAGGAGATAGTCCACAATGTTTCAATATTTCATAAATATTTAACCTTTTTTAGACTGGTTTACTACTAGTTTTTTTGACTGGATAATTTTTAGATAAATTATATAAGAGATTCCAAAATTTAAATATAATCAGTAAGGGTACGAATTACATTTCATCAATTAATTTCGAAATTTGTAACTGTATAATATAATAATAATAATAATAATAAGCTGTTTTGTTAGTCGGCATTAATAATACATTTTTAAAATTCACTCTTAAAATACATTTTTTATTTTATACATTCTTAAAATGTTTAATTATCTTGTTCTAGCATTTTCATTGAACATAGAGTTGTTACAAAAGAAAAGTAAAAAAGACTTTATCGGTGTAATAGGGTTATTATTTACGCAAAATATTATTAATATAGCAATGTTATTAATTTTGTTTACAAATAAAAACACAAAACTGATTTTCTATAATATATTTTATTTTTAAATACTATACCTTGAGCATATTTTAAGGTTAAATTATTTCATAGGTCAAAACATCAACATATTTTCTCTAAATTTTGGCAATTAGTCTGTTCCAATTTAATAAGTTACGAATATAAATAATTTTTAATTACTATTCTAAATGCCAGTACCTAAATATTGTTTAACATTCTTCGACTTTTTGCCTAAGTGATCTAGTATAGAAATTTAAAAACTTTAAAATAACATACAAGGGATTTAATAATTCTAATGTTAAACTGGCTGTAATAGTCTAAAACAAAGATATGTAGGTAAGTAGGTGTAAAAATTCTGAAAACTGTTAGAAAAACCAAATGCAAAAAATATGAAACCTCTTCTTATAATTTTCTTTTAATCCTTTAGCCCTTTCAGTAATGAGTGACCTGAGAGTCCTGCGCTTTGTGTAATTCCTAACTTTCTTTTTTATCATACAAGTCACGATAGCGTAAAAGCGACTTTAACACACAGACATAACATAGAATTTAAAATCAACGAATGGTCTAATTAGATCAGGCCATAAACTCCTGTAGAAATAATAAATTGAAAAAATCCTCATGTAATTATTACTTTAGGACCATACATAAGGTACCTCTATAACGTAAGTAGTGCCGACACGAAACGGCGTAAATATACCAACGATAAACAGAGCAAAGCGAACCGTATTACAGGGTGATAAAGATGCGTTTCCTGTGCAGTGCGACGGCGACCGCGAGCCACATGAGCATGGCGGCGGCGTGCGTGGCGAGCAGCTGCGAGTGAGTCGGCGCGGGGATGTGCCAGTACAGAGGGAAGTGACGCTTCAGCAATTCACTGCCGATGTACAGGAATAGAGCGTTTTGACCTGGGGAAAAAGGTTAAGGTCTTATACAAAGTAAAAATTAATTTGTTATTCGCCAATTCAAATCAATAACGAAAGAAATAAGGAATGCTGCATACATTTCCAGTGACGCAAAAACCACGATAAAACTATCTTCAACTTATTGTTTTGCCTAGCCCGCAGTGTTCCGGCGATAAAACTTCGCCTTCGGCCTGCGGCAAATGTGTCTGGCCACATTGCGCGTTGTAGTTTATCGATAGTTTATCGCGATAAACACGCTGAACACAAAATGGACGCCGCGGTCGCTGTATATTATATGGCACCGAATAATTATTTCTTACTACGTTTTTGGCAACAGGGGACAGCTTTGGACGCCTGCATTATTTATTCAAAATGTCTAATCAAATTATTCATCTTTTATTACTCAAAAAAGTTGTAATTGTCGAAAATACTAGCAAACTTTAATTTACTTCAACTACTCACGATGTTTGTAAGTAGGCTGACAAAAGTGACCGAGAGTTTACCGACAGCGAAGTATTCACGAATATTTGGCTACACACATAGCGATAACGCGAATATTTTCACGTTATCGCGACGTGTGCGGCCTAGACATGTCAACACACACTAATGTACACACATATTTAACTAAAATCATTTACAACTAACAACATAACTTTAGGTGCAAATCTGAACATCCAGCGGTGAACTTTCCGGGCTGGAAAGAAAGAAAGAAGAACGATCAGGCTGTATCACTTGATATATATGCAATGCAGTGCTCGGTTGCAAGTTTTTGACAGTTCATATACTAGTATAGTGTATGTATCCGCGAAATTGTAATAATAGAATGAAGTCAAAATGAAAACCTTTTAATAAATTTAGGCTTGTTTATGGCTCGTTGGAACGTAAAAATCTACAAGCGTTCGCAAATACAAGAATTCAAAGACGTACCGGACAAGGAAAACTTGAGTAGTTTAAAAAAAGATATACTGTGTTCAATTTCATTCACACCTTTAAATCAATACAATGTCAAACGTCTATTAATATTTATTTATAATACCTATTAGTTTTCACAATATATCAGTAGCTAGTGCAGTGTGTTTTTTCATTATTTTCCGCAATATTTTCATGTTATAGTTAGTTGGCTTTTTTTATCTTATTTTAGAGATTTTACTTGTAAATGATATGGATTTACTTATAAAAGACTTTCTGGATTTAGTGAATCTAAATTTAAGAACCTCTAGTGTATCACCTCGATCTCGTCTTCAGGAGACAGTCCGTTTTATAGATTTAAAGTCATGAGCGGACAAAGACCCGAACTTACATATAATAATCATGTCTATATAATAAATAACTATGATCATCAATAGTACTAGGTTCCTGATAAGCGCTTCAAAAACGGCCCGAAAAATAAGACCACAAATACTTTTGTGGTCTTATTTCAAATTAGTATGGTCCAATCATAGCCAACGTTAAGACGTCAAAATGCGGCATTGCGCTTTAAAAACTGTTACACAGTTTTTATAAACGTAACACCAAGATTTTGGCGGGAATATAGTTTTTTTCGGTAAGTTTATATCATTGTTTTTCATAAAATAAAACAAAATTAAATAGTGAATATAATTCAATTAGGTAATATTATGATTGTTTGATCGATGTTCGCTACAACGCACCATCTATTGTAGCCAACATTGAAATGTAATTATTTTATTTATTTTTTAATTATATACAAGAATTACGTCTAGTTCCAAAATAGAGTAAGCACGCAATTGTCAACATAATGTTTTTAACCTTATTACTTAGAAATTAAGTTTCATTTTAAAATAAGTATGTTTGTACTTATGTCTCTTTGTTTTCAAGCGACATCTTTCTTCAATGACAGGACTTAAATAAACATATTTTGCAATGGTAATTAAACTTTATGTTTGAGTGATAAGGTTTAAAATAAACTGAAGTTGTTAATATTATTAAACTTTTTTCTATATTTCATAGTAAAAACTATAAATGTTTACGTGTGTGCAAACATAGCCACTTGATCTACTTATTTTTGTTTCTGATCCTTAATTTAGTACTACTCGTATTATGGATCCAAGACTTAAAAGCCAAAAATTGTACTTTAATTTTTGGTTACGCCACAGCTGGGTAAAGTGGTAACATCATACTCAAATAAGTTTAGATTTTCACTCACCTGCATAGTACAGTGGCCTTCCGCCCCATTTGTTCTTCAAATCGACCACAAAGTATAGTACTGCTTGGATGAAGAAGGCCATAGAGGCAGTGACCAAGCAGTAAGAAACCGACCACAGCGACTTATTAATGGGGATGGGACCTCCGTTCTTCGAGAACATACAGAGGGCGCCACCGGTCACGCCAAAGACAATCGACCAGAATATCCAGCGCATTATGCGTGCCCTGAAATTGTGTGTTGTTAGTTATTTTGATAGATCTAAATACTAAAGACTTGTGGTGAAGGCTTAAGAGTATTCATCAAGCCTTTTCATCCCATCTGATGATGAGGAGAGTATGGAAAATTCTAGAAAATACTCATGACTTCCTATAAATGACGGTATAACCATTTCGTTTCCGCCAGACGTAATATGTCCAGACCGTTGAATGGGACACCGTCGTAGATATGTCACGTCTGGTGCAGTCGCCAATCCAACGGCCAAACGTGGCGATTAAGGCGAATCTTCCCTATAACAGACGAGTATGTTGACCTTTTCTACAAGTTCATTACATTAGGTATTGCTTAGTAGTAAACACAATTTAGATTCTTGCGTTTTTTTTTTAATAGAACAAGCGCATAGTCCACCAGATTGTAAGTGGATGTTGCTGTGGCCTATAGACCTTTACATTTATCCTGGTTTAGAACGAACAGAACGAATGATGGATTATCTAACGCCTTCACCACGCGGCTAACAGAAACATACATTAACACATACGTAATAGGTTTCAAAGTAGCTTACCTAGCATGATTATAGGCCAGCATGATCCTCGTCGCGTGAGCACCGGCCTGAACTACCAAAATGCCGGACAGAACACCGAGGACGCCTTCCGGATCGTAGGGCAGTACGGTCCGGTATAACTGCTGGAACCTTCCATGCTTGTATAAATGTGATGGTCCAAGTATAAGCCTTGAAACAAACATTAGATAAGTTAATTTATTATCACTATTTTTCCTGCTGCTCCTCATTCACTAATTTATTACACCCTCTCAAAACTCTATTTCTGCACATTTGCCATAGTTGCCACATTTAACGGGCATGGAGGTTTTTTTTATTATTTTGTACTGTTATCGTAAGAAGCGACAGAGGAAAACAAATTAGGAGATAGGCAACAGCGTCTTCTAATAACGAAAAAAAAGAAACTGCGGTTGCCAACCCACTTGCCAAGCATGGCAACTATGGCAAATATCCTTCCTATGAAGCAATTTATGGAGGAGGCCTATGTTCAGCAGTGGTCTTTAATAGGCTGTAACAATACCGGTACGGTTATAAGGAAGATAAAGAACATAAATTAAAAAAAAACTACGGTTGTCAACCCGCCTGCCAAATGTAGTAATGATAATGGTGATAATGATCGGGAAGATGCTGTTGCTGTTCTCTTGTTTCATTTCCCTCTGTTGCCCTTTGCAACATCTTCTGGACGATTTGGTGGTGTAGTGGATCATCATCATTCATCATTACAGCCTTTCATAAGTCCACTGCTGAACAGAGGCCTCCCCCAAGGAATGCCACAAAGCATGGTCCTGAGCCACCTGCATCCGTCGACTTCCTGCATATCTTACCAGGTCGTCACTCCATCTTGTGGGGGGTCGCCCTACACTTCGCCTACTGGTAAGAGGCTGCCACTCAACCTTTCTTTCCCATCGGTTGTCGGTTCTTCGAGCTATATGGCCGGCCCACTGCCACTTCCGCTTACAAATCCGTTGGGCTATGTCGGTTACTCTGATTCTACTGCGGATATACTCATTTCTAAGTTTATCACGCAGAGAAACTCCGAGCATAGCCCTCTCCATAGCTCACTGAGCGACATTGAGCTTCCTCATACGGCCAGCAGTGAAGGACAACGTCTCAGATCCGTAAGTCATCACTGACAACACGCACTGGTTGTATAATTTCGTTTTAAAGTTTTGAGGAATGTTTGACGAGAAGATGTGGCGTAGTTTCCCGAACGCTGTCCAACCGAGTTGAGTCCGTCGATTGACCTCTCGGTCGAAGTTGGACTTACCTAGTCGGACTATTTGTCCCAGCTAAACATACTCGTCAACAACTTCGAGCTTAGTGCTGCCAACAACTACCGGCATAGGTGTGACATGGACATTGAACATAATCTTTGTTTTGTCCATGTTCATATTAAGACCTATCCGTTGGGAGACACTATTGAGGTCATTGAGCATGGTGCTTAGATCCTCCAGCGATTCTGCCATAAGGACTATATCGTCGGCAAATCGAAGGTGAGTGATGTACTCGCCATTGATGTTAATACCGTATCCTTTCCAGTCCAGAAGCTTGAAAATCGACTTCCAATGCAGCGGTGAAGTGTTTCGGGGATATAACGTCACCCTGTCTTACACCTCTCTGCAATTGGATAGGTTTCGTACTCTGGTTCTGTATTCGGATAGCCATCGTAGCCCTACTGTACAAGCACTTCAGCACTTCGATATACCGACAGTCAACTTGGCACCGCTGAAGGGACTGCAGCACCGCCCGAATTTCGACGGAATCAAAGGCTTTCTCATAGTCCACATACGCCAGGCATAGTGGCAAATTGTACTCCTCGGACTTCTGTACAACTTGCCGAAGGGTATATATGTGGTCTATGATGCTAAAGCCCTTTCGGAAACCGGCTTGTTCGGGAGGCTGGAAGTCGTCAAGTCTGCGCGCGAGACGATTCGTAATGACTCTCGAAAACAGCACGTAGACGCGGCTCAGAAGGGAAATCGGTTTGTAGTTCTTCAAGAGAGCGTTGTCACCTTTCTTGAAGAACAAGACCACCGCACTTCTGCTCCACGCCTCCGGTGTAATGCCACCATGGAGGACGGAATTAAAGAGCTTCTGAAGGACTTCAAGTACCGGTTTTCCACCCGCATTCAGAAGCTCCGCTGTAATTCCATCCTCGCCTGGGGCCTTGCCGTTTTTAAGGTGCTGGAGAGCCATTTTAATCTCGCTCAGACTGACGTCAAGGATATCTTCGGAATAGTGTCGGATAAGACTCGCTCTTAGATCGTTACTCACACTTGCGTGTTGCTCCAACGATGACGTGTACAGCTGCCCATGGAACCTCTCAATCTCACTCAAAATCTCAGGTGCCCCGGAAACGATGCTGCCACACTCGGTGCTCAGCTTTGACAGTTGGCTCTTTCTGGCAGACAGATCTCTGGCAAAGACTTTGGAGCCTTGGTTCCGCACGATCGCTTCTTCAATACAAGCTGTATTGAAGTTGCGTAAGTCCCGCTGCATGCATTTGGAGATGTGTCTGTTCAGTTGCCTGTATGCTGTCAAATCTGTTGAAGAATGTAGCTTCATCTCCCGTCTAACAGCCATGAGATTAAGAGTGTGATCAGAGAGTTTTTGTGTTCTTCTGCGGTGGGGCTTGCAGAACTTAGCTAGCATGGACAGTTCCCACGAGCTTGTCATTCATATCGTCCACTTCATTGCAGTCTTCTAGGCACTGAAAACGGTTTTGTAACTCGAGCTGAAAGGTTTCGGGACTTTGTAACAGAGCACGAGGGGGACGGAGCGTTGACTTCATTAGCTCGTCTAATCCTCTCCATAAACCTCTCCAACTTAACGTTTAGGTTCAGTGTGCCTCTAACCATTCGGTGATCGCTACCAGTTTTCACCCTCGCGATCACGGAGACATCACTGAACAGTTGTCGTCTGGTCGTCATAATAAAGTCAATCTCATTTTGTGTCGAACCGTCGGGGCTCGACCAGGTCCACTTCCTGTGGGGCCGCTTCTGGAAGAAAGAGTTCATCATAAAGAGTACCTCTTTCCCCATGAAGTCGGCCAGTTGCTGGCCCTTGGGGTTCCATTGCCCTATTCCAAATTTCCCTACTTTCAGCTCACCATTCTCTCTTGTGCCTAGTTTTGCATTGAAGTCTCCCAGTCTACCGTATATTGGGTTTTGGAGGAATGCATGGCTCTAGAGATATCCTCATACATTTCCTCCACCTCCTCATCGGGGTGTGCCGAGGGTGGTGCGTAAACCTGTATGACCTTCAGCGAATACCGTTTGGTGATTCTGAGTATAAGGTACGCAACCCTCGTCGACACACTCTCGATCTTTACAACGTTGTTAACGAGAGACTTGTGGACGATAAATCTTTAGACCTTGAGACAGATGGTCGCCCTACCGGTGATAAAGCAAGTTGCCGGATTCAAGGATTACCGTGTCCTCCCCCTCTCTTCGGACTTCGGATAATCCTATAATATGCCAGCGTAACTTGTCTATCTCTTCTTCCAGCTCCACGATCTTCTCGTCAGTCCTCAGGGTGCGTGCGTTGTATGTTGGCAGGTTGAGTCGTTTAAGGTGGCAACCGAACCTCCACCGGAGATTCTTAGCCCCCGTTACCATGGTCGCCACCGTAGCCAGGAATAGCGGGGCTGCCGGGGACTGGGGGCCGTCTCTTTGTGACACTCTTCATAGGGGGATATTTGCCATAGTTGCCACGCTTGGCGAGCGGGTTGACAACCGTGTAGTGGATATTCTTTCACAATTATTTGCATATATACGCACACTATACTTCTGTAAATTATATTCAAACAAAATATAAACACCTATCAATGTAACCAGCGATGCCTCCAGTACAGTTTTGTAATGAAAAGTCTCCCAGAGCGGTTCGATGCAAGCCTCCCGGGCCTGAGTAGCCGCGAGGACAGCCTGGTGCAGCCACGGTCAGGGAAATGCAAATCTGGCGAAGAATAAACTGATTAAAACTGGTATGCCTGCGATTATTGCAAACCTGTCACTATCCTCGTTGACAAGAAAACACTACAATGTATACCTTCATGTTCAAATGGTGCATATCTTTTTAATTTCAATGTCCTAACCCAAGGTATATATTATATATTCATTTATCCTTATCCTATTAATGCAATGTTTACATTAAGGCAATGAGGCATTCATCTCAGTCGTCAGGGGTGACAACTGACTAATGATCTGAATTTTGATATTTAGTCAAGAATAGATGTAGGTGTCTGTCTATGAGCCTTAACATTCTCTTATAATAAAATCATGTGGATTGTATGCTCGTTTGTCACTCTTATTTGATAAGGTGTCTATGGGCCACAGCATCCACTTACCATCAGCTGGACTGTGTGCCCGTTTGTCACTCTTATTTGAAAAGTGTCTATGGCTCACAGCATCCACTTACCATCAGGTGGACTGTGTGCTCCTTTATCACCCTTTTTCTACAGGTGTTTATGTGCCACAAAATCCACTGGTCATCAAATGGACTGTGCGCTGTTTCTCACTTACATATGTCATCCATAGCTTGTTAACCTGGGAAAGGCCTCTGATTTAATGTGGTGTTATATCTAACTCTTATATCTTTTCCTTCTTTTCTTTATCAGCCCATCTACGTGGCAACCTTAATGTATTGCTGAAATTCTATATACAACATCAAGACATTATTAGATAGATTTATTCAAATTACCTGTATTGAAACCAGAAGGATTGTAGCGAGCCATTGTTGCCATCCCGCAGCGATATCTCGGAATAGGGAGCGACCTTGAACAGAAAAATCATTCAAGGGAATGACAGCAACAATTAATGAAACTTAGAATTACATTCATACAACTTATATCTTATAAAAATTAAAGTTACAGCCTATGTATACGTCCCACTGTTGGGCACAGATCTCGTCTCATTTCTGAGAGTTATATCCTATAAAAATAATATTCAAAAGCTGGAACTTCGTTAACTATGATATCGGGACATCAAACATCTTAAGTCTCCTCGTAACCATGGGTGCCCTTTGTGTTTATATTTATTTAATTTAAATCAATATAAATAAAATTAAACGCGATAAAAATTCGTTCTATTCGACAACTTATATCGTATACCAAGCCTATCTGTTTGCAATTCATTGTTGTACGAACAAAAATACGTACTAAGCTCCAAAGAATAAAAAAACAATGACCGAAGCCGGAGCAAAGCGATATACGTACTCCATAGTAAAATAAGAGAAGCGCGATAACACGACGTTTGTATCGAAAATAAAAGAAACAACCAAGTTCTGTATTAAGATATGATACCTACGTATTACTACGTTATTACTTTTACCAAGGTAAGTTTAAAAGTAATGCAAATATTTTTGTAATCATTCTCAGATATATCAACATTATATTTTATACGATGCCATAAATTGTATAAGATTTGGCTCAAATTTTTTTCAGGTTCTCTAAACTCCATTCATCTCAAGCTTCATCTCACGGCCGGTCCATTGTCACTGCAGCTTACTGATCCATTAGAATAAGTCGGTTTCTCTGGTTTCACTGCGGATATCCTTATATTTAAATTTATCATGCAGAGAAAAGCTGAGCATAACTCTCTCTATAGCTCGCTGAGCGATCTTGAGCTTCCTCATACGGCCAGCAGTGAACAACCATGTCTTAGATCCATAAGTCACCACTGGCAACATGCACTGCTTGTACAATCTTGTTTTGAAGTGTTGAGCTATATGTGACGTGATGTGTCGTATTCTCCCGAACTATCATAGTTGAATCCGCCGATTGATTTTTTGGTAGAAGTTGGCCTTACACGATCGGAAAATTAGTCCTAGGTAAACACACTCGTCGACAATTTCGAACGAGTGCTCCCAACACTTACAGGCTGTATGGCATTCCATCTTTGGCCTCAGTGGTTGTCACCACCTATCTGTAACCTCCTTTATTTGAAGTTAGCTTCAAGTGTCCATGGGCTGCAGCAGCCACTTACCATCAGGTGCACTTTAAGTTTTTTGGAGTTAATGTATAGATGGGTAGTAAAATCAAGCGTTATAAAAAAGTGCAGCCGTTATGGTTTTCCGCTGGGCAACATACTCGTGCAACTCCTAGCACGAAATTAATAATTTAGTATAAGTCATATACATGATGGGCCAGAAAGAATTGCGAATTTGAAAAAATCATTAAAAAAAAACTAAGTACAATTCACATACAAATTTTTATTTCTACAAAAATTTACATCTGGGAAATTCATTTCTTAAAAATAACATCATCCAGATGTGCACCATCGCGCTGCAAACATTCTTCGAATCTGAACCTCAAATTGGTAAAAACTCGCTGGCACATTGCACGGGGAATATCTGCCATTTCTTTCCGGATATTGGTCTTCAACTGGTCAATTGTGGCTGGGTTATTGGAGTAGACTCTACTTTTTAGGTATCCCCACAAAAAAAAGTCCAGTGGTGTAAGATTCGGACTTCTAGGAGGCCATTCAATGTCACCACCTGTCACCAGTTTCTCACCAAACATCTCGTTTACGACCGCCAAAGAGGCATTAGCTGTGTGGCATGTCGCGCCATGTTGTTGAAACCATGTCGCACGATTATAGGCTTCAAATTGTTGCAGTTGTGGAAAGAAAAAATCCCTTAACATGGCTATGTATCGGTCAGAATTTACAGTGACAGATTATTGGCCTTGTCGATTTTCGAAGAAGTCGGGTCCGATAATTCCGTGCGCTGACATGGCCGCCCAAACGGTTACTTTCGGCGAATGTAGAGGCTTTTGATGTTTTGCACGTGGGTTCTCTGCAGCCCAGTAACGGCAATTCTGTTTATTCACCTGCCCATTTATGTGAAAATGGGCTTTGTCGGATTGTTGAAACTCCGAAAGCGTTCCAGCATCGTTTCAACAAAAGCTCTCCTTAAAATTGGATCATTTGGCTGTAATTCCTGCACAAGTTGAATTTTATACGGATGCAATTTCAGATCTTTCAACAAAATGCGACGCAAAGATGTTCTGGACACCACAAATTCAGCTGAACGCTTTCGAGTCGATAGAGCAGGATTACGTTGAACTGAATCTCTAACTTGTTCAATTGTGTCTTCCGTTCTTGTTGACCTTGGGCGTCCCGCAGGCTTCTGTTTGAGAGTCGAACCAGTAGCTTCGAACTTTCTGACCCACGATCGAATCACGCTTTCCTTCGGACACTGATTTAGGTCATGTAATCCAAACTCACGTCGAAGTAAACGCCGAACAATAGCGCACGAACCGTGATTTTTATAATAATGTTTAACGCAGAATGCACGTTGCGCTCCCGTGAAGTGATCCATCGCGACTAAATTTCCGAGAATCGACCTACTTAACCCCACCAACCGCGCAGTCCCCTCTCTAAAGCTTCAAACGCAAGAGTGTTTTTAAAATCGTACTCCTTTCTGGCCCACCCGTTATTTTTACGTAATATATTTTATCAAAACAATATAAATAAATGTATGGGTTCGTTTACTTCCTTTGCATATTGTATATATTTTAAGACAATGGTTTTTCAGTAGTAAACTCCAGTCACGCGTCGGAACCGACATGCACAAATTTTTCTTCTAGAGAATAAAGGTGACAAACTAGCACGTTTTACGTGGTACAGCCATGCTGCACCTATATTAGTAGTATAGTTTTAGCATGAATAGGTCGGTCGAGCGGGGATGGACCACGCTCTCACAGAATACCAGCGTAAAATAGCAGCTTAATGCTGCTGTGTTTTGTATAGTAAGTGTGAAGAATCGGTGAGCCTTTTTACTAAAAACGAGACATTCCATCATAGACCTCACGGGTGAAAACGCATCTGCATTTAGATGGAATGCCTCGTTGCCAATAAAACTTTGTTTGTCAGTTCAATTTCATTAAAAAAAATATTACCAGGCGTAATGTTCTGACTGGTCCTCATGAAGGCACACTCCAGAGTACCAACAATAAGGTACATAGCGGCCAGACGTTGCAGGACCCCGGGAAGCCGCACGTTAGTCCAGGACACGTTGACTGAGCCCAGGCAGATGCCGATCAGCGCTAGGAATAGAGACCGTCGCGCCACCTATTGCGACAAATGAAATAGTAATAAATAAAGTATGCTAACATGCAGACTACGGCAAAATAGAGACATATTCACCTTATTTTCCACGCTTGGCAAGCGGGTTCCTAACCACACTTTTTATTACATTGTGCTGTTATGAGCAAGATGCTTTTTTTACATAAAATTTGGCAAACGAGCATGCGGCTCACCTGATGGTAAGAGTCGACAGCTTCCCATAAACAATTGCACCAATGCACCAATTAGGGCTAATAACTTTATGCTCACCAGATGTCGCTAGTTGACAATGAGGTAAAGTTAATTGTTACGCAATGTAATTTAATTGAGAAGTTGTTTTTTAATAAAAGTTTATCAGTTTCTCGAGTATTATATTTGTTACGGCCCGCAGCTGCTCCTGCAAAGGTTCAATATCCGGGGCCCATGAGCGGAAGATTCAACGAGCAGCCGCAGGTTCGAGCCCGAGTGGCTATATGGAAGAATTTCCTATAATACAAAGCTATATGGGAGAATGCTAGAAACACATATTACGTACCAGTATCAGAAGCTAACTTCGCACCAAGGCTCGGTCAGGCCGTGAGTGGGTGTAAGGTGAATGGCAAGTAGTGTTCAGTGATGTGTAAATGTGTGAGACCTTGACCACTTTAGGCGATCAGCAGCGGCCGAGTTCCAGGCTGCCCCAAAATGCTGCATCGCTCCAGCAGGCTCCACCGCTGGACCATTTCTTTCTTCATTGTCACTATTTCAGTCTATTAGATTCGTTGTACATTTAACTAACTTAAACTCGCCTAATTCCACATTCATCGTAGAATCGAACACGTGATATCCGACACAGTAAGGACAGTAGTTCCAATTCGACATTCAATGTCCCGGATTCACTTATCACAAAATTATAAAGAGGGAATTAAAGCGATCTCTTAATGAGTTATACGATTCAGCGTTAAACACAACTAAGTTCCTTCATTCGACACCAAAACACCACGTCGCGAAAAGATTCAAAATATGCCTCGTTGACACGTAAACTAACAAGCCAACCAACACACAAAAAAGGGCACTTAACGCGACTGCACAATTATAATGATTTCCTGACGATCAACCGGGAGAAGTTCTCGAACAAGGAATGCGCGGTTCGAATCCTAGACCGCATATCTACTCGACGCATGCGTGCACAATTCCGCATCCCCGAACAAGTTAAATATTGCAAAATTCACATATCCACGTAACGAAGTAACACGCACTTAATCTAACTATCTGGACCCGACAACGGTCGCGTGAACTTCGGCCGCACTAAACGAGCTACGCGGGTTCCCCGCTTCGCGGCCAGTGGGCAACTCTTCCATCATCGCCCACGCGTCGAGCCACTGCAAGCCGCACACGGCAGCCCCACCTCGGCGTTATCTCACCTACATACCATCGGGTGAGGCGCCAGTTCGAACACAATTGGGTGGCGTTCAAACATAACCAAATTTGGGCATAAACAATATTAATACACAAAACAATGCGTCAGCGGTTTGCTCTTTAATTATTTGCAAGTTTTTAACTTTTTTTTTTATTTTTTACATTAATAAATATCTGTGGTTTGGTTTATTTATTTTTAATCTTATTAATATAAAATATAGCTAATAGTACAGAAAGAAACAATAACCTTTACATTTTCCCAACGAATTAACTTCCCCGCTATGAAATCTGTCAAATATTATACCTCTTTCTAGTGGCGCCGCTCTGGTAGCAGAAAAAGTTGTGGATGCCCTAATTGCAGGTGCAAATAAAGGAGTAAGCTCGTTTCTCGTAAGTCCCTAAGGCGTATCGGTCCGGAAACATTGCCGGTGGTAAACTATTCCACAAAGTGATGTACGAAAAATAAATACTCATCTCCTTTTTTTTATATTTTACTAAACCAGCGTTTATCTACGATCCCACTTGATTGTAAGTGGTGATGTAGCCCAAGATGGTGAAGCGCACTGACTTAAACAAAAGCCTATTCACTCTTGCCTTGAAGACACCCACACTGTAATCGGATGGAAAGACAGATGCTGGCAACTTATTCCACTCCATTGCTGTACGCATGATGAACGACGTGGCGAACCGTTTGGTTCGAATGCGTGGTAAGTCAACAACGAAATGGTGGAGACTGGCCGAACGTCTGGTTGTCCGATGGTGGAAGGGAGAGGGTGGAATTAAATTATGTAATTCCTGCGCACACTCTCGGAAATGCATCCTGTAGAAAACCGAAAGGCTGGCTACTTTACGTCTGTGTTCGAGGCTGGTAAGATTGGCCTGTTCATCTCCTTCTGCGGCTCTTACGCGACACCCACGTTATGATATAAGTTAGTGAATTACCTTACGCCACTACTACATGGCGAAATTCTCAATAATTATTAGAATCTATGAGAGCGTGCTCCTTCCCCAATCGAGCCGACCCGTGCTACAACTATATACTACTAATATAGCTGCAGCATGACTCTACCAAGTATAGCAGAATACCAGCGTAAAATAGCAGCTTAACACTGTTGTGTTTCGTATGGGAGGGTAGAGAACCGGAGTCTTTTTACTGGAAAAGAGGCATTCCATCTTAGTCCTTACGAGTGACAACGCATCTGCATTTAGATTCGCAAAAGAGTATAAGATGTAGATGTCTATGGGTCACAGTAACCACTTACAATCAGGTGGACTGTGTGCTCGTTTGTAACCCTATCCTATAAAAAAAAAAATATTAGAATCAGGCGTTACTTTGCGGAAATCCATTGTATTATTTACGATAAAAATTAATGACCTAAGATACGTGTAATAAATTTAATTACGTAGTTAATTTTATTACGCTCAAGTCATTACTTTGTCGTGGGTAGTCCATTGACTACCCGCGGTAAATTATGTCGGACATAACATAATGTGCGTAGCCGCAGGGATCCTCACTAGTCCTTAGGTAAGGACTGATGTGGTTACGCATGGAAGCCTATACCTATGGGCTTCGATGTAACACATAATATTAAGGTTAGGTCGGAGATGGGCATAAAACAACACTCTTATTTTTTGCATATCGTTGGCTTCTTCAGAAATTCATATTCCCACCCATAATAATGTACTCGGTAAAAAAAAAAGTTTCTCTTACCTGACCAAAAGCAGTGAAACGCGGCATGGAAGTCCTCAAGCGGGCGTTGAGTGATAGCACCAGGGCTTCGCCCATCGCGAACGCGAACCACGGGAACACCACATCGGCCACCGTCAGTCCGTTCCACACCGAATGCTTGAAGATACCGTATCCACCGCCGCCACAGTTCACGAAAATCTACAAAAGCGTAATGCTATGGTTAACTACTTTCACCGTTACCGTTACAACCGATTAATGTCCACTGCTGAACTTAGACCTCCCCCATAGATTGCCTCATAGTATATTTGTCATAGTAACTATGCTTGTCATTATTAAGAAGCCGCTGCTGCCCATCTCCTAATTTGTTTCCCTCTGTCGCTTCTTACGACACCCACGGGATGATATGGGGTAGTGGATATTCTTACACCGTCACTATACAGTCAACTACTTTTAGTACAATTTATCCTTCGCCTCCTCCTACACACATACACACACTGTCATACTACACACAAGGAGGCTTACCTACACTCTACAACTTTAAATTAATTATTGGTAAGTGATCTGTTTTGTATACAGTGAAATTTATCTTAAAGGGAAGAGCGCCGCTGTCTGAAACACAGATATTAAGTTGTCTAGTTCAGACGCAGATGTTCACTGAATTGTATTTATTTATTGTTAAGCTGTATCTCAGTGTTTGTATCCTAGAAATATTAGGAAAAATTTTTGCTTGAAATAATAAATTATTATTAATATTATTATTTACAAAGCATTGTGTTCTACTAACGCTGGATAATTTTCGGATAGTTCACGCACTTTAATCATCTGTACACCTTTTACAATTAATTAACAGTTTCCTTGTTCGCGAAATGACACCATGAATTAAACAAGAAAATGTTCACATATGACTTATGGGACAGGGGAATTGTTGAAATAGGTCAAAATATATGAGGAAAATTTATTCAGATATTTTATTTATCATTGTAGATGTTATGGGTTGTGGTCATAAACAGAATTTATGTTTCAAGAATTGAAACAGAAACTTTTTTATTCAATATAGAATACAAATTATACTTATTGAAAGCCACTCTTTTGTTTAATTACTACTGATTCAGAAAACAAACTCTGTCCTGGGAAGAATCAGCAAGAAACCCAGCGGGACTTTTTCTTTTTGAAAAAAAAAACAGCTTTCAATCTAATATGTTTAATCTATTATGTTACACAATTAATAAACACAAAAAATAGAAATACCTTGGTAGCGATCACCTCATTCCCAGGGGTTATAATCATCCATAAATTCCTTAATATTATAATAACACTTTTTTAATAAAGTTTTTTAACTTTAGGAGGTCTAATTTTGTATATTTTCTGGGATTCTCGATTAAGAATCAAAATCCAGAGGTGTTGCCGGCACATCCCCGGGATAATTTCTCGGCGAAACAACATCTTTAATGATAACTTGAATAAAAAATTAAAAAAAACCCGAAGCAAGAAAAACAATAAAGTAAAAAAAAAATCATTCAATCTTTCATTCACTTAACATATTCATACACTAATTTGCCACAAACGGCACTACATCGTATATCTAAATTTCAAATCCAATGAAAGTAGCTTGAAATCCCTCACCAATTTATCCTCATTTCTCTTTCATGCTCCCCTCATTAGATCCTGATCACCACCGTTCCAATTACAATGAGCCGAAACTCGATATCGCTGCTATAAGTTGGTATGGATTTGGTTATCCTACAGATTCCAAGCGACGCCTTAGCATCAGGTCAAGATTAACATATTCATGCAATATAATTGAAGTAACTGTATACCAACTAGAAAAGAGCTGATGATTTTCAAATGGCTGAACAGATTCTCTTGAATAACATAGCCGAGAATTCTCTCGATCAAGTCACGTTCCAACCAAAAAAAAAAACCAAATTAAAATCGGTTAATCTGTTTGGGGGCACGACACCACAGACAGACGCACAAATACACAAACACACACACGTTAAACTTATACCACCCTTCTGTTTGAGTAGGAGCCTAAGAATAGACGCGGATTGGGACAAAACCTTAAAGACGATGCTGGTATTAAAATAGAGCGTAAGACTGTGGAAGGTAGAGCTAATATTGTTTGCTCGCAGATAGCTCGTTGTTCTGAACCTGTTTTTAATGCACATTTCTAGATATGTGCTAGTGCTTGGAAATCTGTAGGTTTTTTTTTTATAGAACAAGGGTGACAAACGAGCACACAGTGCACCTGATGGTAAGTGGTTGCTGTGGCCCATAGACATCTACATCTGTCTTCGTGTGCGAATTAAAATGCAGATGCGTTGTCAGCCGTGAGGACTAAGATAGAATGCCTCTTTTCCAGTAAAAAGGGTCTCCGGTTCTCTACACTCACTATACGAAACACAGCAGCATTAAGCTGCTATTAGACACTGGTATTCTGTGAGAGCGTGGTCCTTCCCCGGTCGAGCCGACCCATTCGTGCAACAACTATACTATTAATATAGCTGCAGCATGGCTCTACCACGTAAAAAATCAAATATTACAAAAAAACTGGACACCCTGTGCGACCAGTACAATATCTTCAGGATGATGTTGGAACTGTTTCGTTTTTGTTAAGCATCCACGATACTTGCGGTGTAACTAACTGATGGCTTCGCATCCATCATTTGCAAAAACCTTCCCTAATCTGCAGAACACAGGACAGTCGCAACAGCACGCACTCTTTTTACCTTACTTTTTATTTTACTTACTGAATAGCCTTACTTTATATTATTACTTAATTTCTTTAAATCTTAGCTGTCGAAATAAAGTATTTTATTTATTTTATTTTATCGGAAACTACATTTATTTCATACCGAACGATCGAAAAAATTAAGAGACAGCGGTTGTTTTTCTAAAACATATTTTTGAAAAAAAAAAGTAAAAGATACACACAGCCTTATTAAAATCATTAAGGGACTCTACTATTCTCTTCCATATTCTGCAGTTGTAAACTGGTGTGCAGAATTGAGGCTGCGTAGAACATCCACACAAGACCGTTCATGTCTCACACCAAAAAAAAAGTAAAAAGTCGCCGAGTATACAAAGCGATTGATCAAGTTTATCGTTTTATAGGTAGCTTAAGTAAAACAATATATAATATAACAAAGACATTAAATTATTTATAAAAGTAGACTGACTGGCTATCACTAGAATTTCTTTGTCATTCAAGTTTGTTGACACGATCTAATTTTGTTTGCATCGGCGTCGCACGCTACGTAGAGTTTGCGTATAACTTGTATAGTATGCCATTACCGGTTGTGTAGGTATATTCTCGAAACACGTAAGTATTCGACAATGTATGGGGAAAATTAAAAATGTTGATCAATGTCCATTATCATACCAATATTATAAATATGAAAGTATATTCGGTTGAATGTTTGTCTATAATCACCCTTGAACGACTGGATGGATTGTAATGATATTTGACTTAGAAGTCTATTACGTTGAGCAATAGAATATTTACAATTAATACTAATTTGGAGTGGGTTTTTCTTAATAGCCGACACGATAAAAATATTTCGTTTTCAAAATTAAAATACGTACGTACATATGTAAATTCTTTATTCTGTAGTACCGAGTTTAGGAACCCTGCTTTTTTATCAACTCGGCTGCCAGCGGGTTGTTGCTCCTATTTTATCGTACAACCTAATAGCTTGAAATGGATTTTGATACGAAAAAGTGTCTGCGCGTGTAAACTTTTAGTGGAAAGTGGAAACGTCGACACAAGTGCACCGATATGAACCTCAAGTTATTTTGTTCGCTTAGGCGTTTTAAGAACTTGAAACACTGTCATCATCGACTATACGTGGAGTCGAGCTGTCATCAAAAACTTCCAAGAACTTCTCAACGTGAAGCATCGGCATATTGTGAAGAAGAAATTTGAAACAGATTATTTTAAAGCCAATCTATACAATTAAATAAAATTGAAGTGTCAGTTTGTAATGTCAAAATTAGAGCTTTTTATTAAATGGATTTGAAAGTATATACGGTACTAATAAAAAAATACAATTTTTAGAGTTTTTGCCTGTCTGTCTGTTTGTTCCGGATAATCTCGGAAACGGCTGGACCGATTTTGACGGTATTTTCACTGGCAGATAGCTGATGTCACAAGGAGTAACTTAGGCTACTTTTATTTTAGAAAAAGAATTGGGACTCCGCGAAAAAAATTAAAACCCCAAATAACACGCATGCGAAGTCGCGGGGAACAGCCAGTTATTAATAATTATTGTCTTTGACTTACAATATTGTTTTATATTTTGGATCGCTACTCGAAATATATTCCTCAGACATTCAGGTTTCCTCACGATGTTATCCTGCACCGCCAAGAATAATGGCCTGTACCCAGCAGTAAGAGATACATGGGTTGTAACCTGTAACTATCTAAACATCGCACCAAAACTATACTATGGTGGTACGGAATGATGATTCGGCCCGTGATCACTTACGGCGCATATAATGGACCAACACTAACGAAGTTACCACTATGAAGAAGATACTGTGATGCCGGAGATTACCCTGTATGTCTGTAACAGGTTGCCTATTCACTTTTCTACCGACTTCAAAAAGAAGGAGCTACTAAATTCGACTGTATGTTTTTTTTAAGTGTGTGTTTTTTAAATGTAATACAAAAGTTTCACTTCTATCGTGTGTCTTCACGACACAGACTGTTTTTTTTTTTGTTATTTTTGGCACTTATCACATTATTTCCACACGTGTTAGGTTGACTGGTAGAGAATGCCAAAAGACATTAAATCCGCCCTATGTAATCCTTTTTATTAAGGCGTACAATTTAATATATAAAAATGTATGTTTGTTTGTTCGTATTTTATACGTTGCCGTACCGTTCATCAGATTTTGTTGATTTGATTACGGTAAAACTTTGTAAACTTATTGCTTGCACTTGCGCGAAGGTTATAGGCATAGTACAATTAACTTGCAGTAGGTGGCGCGCGTATCGTACTGACAAATTTATTTGAAAGTAATATATCATTCAAGTTCAATGAATGTATTATCATTGCTAATTAAACAATATAACCCTTCCAAATTTAAAACGACATTTCCACAATTATTTCTTGTGCGGCTGCAACGCGCCAGGTAACCAGCTAGTAAGGTATAAATAAATAAAATACATACCATCAGAGCTATGGCGATACCGCGAAAGATATCGAGAGATCGTAGTCGAGATCGCGTTGGAGAGCGAGGCACACTCGCCTCCGTGGTCAGCACACGAGTCTCCGACCCGAGCTCGTTGTCCTCCCTACAATGAAAACAAATTCTTATTTACGCACTATTAAGACTGTTTTCTTCCTAGATATCGACATCACAGCATATTTTTTTGGTCTTCCTTATCGACCCACAATTATATAGTCTTGTAAAATCGAAGATTACTATTGCTTATTATAAAGCCAATAACTAACTAACTATATTAGCTAGATGGACTGACGAACTGGTAAGACATGCCGAGTCGACCGATGCAGATGGCCAGAATCGTGCTTTGTGGCACTCCTTGGGGGATGCCTATCTTCAGCAGTAGACTTGTGAAGGACTGTAATGAATAAACAATTGAATAGTGAATAACTGTAATGTAATTATTTGGTGTACTAAATATTAATTATGTTGCGATCTCCACCCACAACATACTCTTCGAGCCCAAATTTAATGTGTAAATCTGAGCTCTAAATCCAATAACATAAAGAAAGCGAAAGCAGCCTGATTGCGAACTCATGCAAGGTAATTAATCTCCGTGGTATTAATGCTACTGATCTAAAAAGACTGATTTAAAAAGTGCTCTTTCAGAGTTTAGCTGTGATCTGGATTCGACGTTGGAAAATTTTAAGGGAAATATTTTTAATATAAAAACATATCTCGATTCTTTTCAGACGGAAATGAGAAAAGAAATAAATTTGTTATGTTTAGAGAATTCTACATTGAAAAAACTTTCGGATTTGACTAGTTAAGTTTAAAACAAGAGTCCTTACACTTATCAGACGCCGAGCATGCTAATCTCAAGAAGCGTGTCAATGAAATTATTACTGTATCTCAAGCTAAAAATAAAGACGATGCCATACTGTTGCTATAGGAAAAAAAATATATATAATTTAGTATTTAAGTGTTTATATTAATAATCTTATTTTGCAGGTTTAATTTCTTTTTGGTTTCGGTTTAGTGTTGTTTTTGCCTTTCTCTTAAATTTCTGTTTAATTTATGTGATAAATATAACTTTAATCACATTTTTAGCTAAACCATAAATTTGATAAAACATTTGGAAACTAAATGCTTAATTATAATAATACGTGTTTATAAAACATCTGTTGCATTCACGATCTCCTTCTGTAACAATATTAATTTAAAATAAAAAGTAAGTGCTTAACTAATCACTTAGTAATCATAAAAAAAGATAATATAAGATGAATGAAAATATTTGCATTTATTATCAAAACTGCAGAGGTTTACGTACACAATTACATGTTATATAACTGTTACGATGTTATAGTATGTATTAACAGAAACCTGGTTTACCTCTAATATATGTGATAATGAATTTATAGATCAACGTTATATAATTATATTGTATTTCGTTGCTACAGCTCTGACATTAAAAAGAAACGTATCATTAGTGCTTCTCGTTTACCACCTAATTTTGATAAAGTAATATTGAATTGCATCTGAGTACGATTCAAATTTTATGTATATTATGCAGATTCTCAATTTGATAATTTCTATGTACTGGGTGATTAACTTTCATGATGTTGGTAGGATCCCTGGTGACACTGGGTAGGGATTATAGTCTGTTCGCTTAGATACGGTCGCCTTTGTATCACGCCGCCTTGGCACGTGCCGCATTTTATAAAAGGTACCGCCGCAAAATTTCGGGTGTGCGGCGTACACCCGAAGGAGAATTTGGCATTTTACAACGAGGCGCCTTAGTGAAAGGAATTTTGCTACCTATACTTGTTTTTATTATTTATATTCGTATTTTTACAATAAGAATAAAATAGTATTCTATTGTGTAGTTTGTTTGTTAAATAAATGTTTTTCTATTCTAAGAATAAAATAGAATACTATTTTGTTCTTAGAATAAAAAAACATTTATTTAACAAACACAGTAAAAAATAATAAAATAAAAGCAAATATCAAGTGCGCCTCCGGGTGTACCGACACAATTCTAGCGAACAGACTATAGTTTGCACTAGTACATCATCAACTTGCTAACAAATTAATTGTTTCTTATCTTTTTTAAATACTTTATAAATTAAAATACTTTTCGAAAATCTAAACGCAGAATTTTGGATTTGTTTCATCTCTTGAATAAGCAGTGTTCTGTGTTACTACCCTGCGATTTTTAGTACAGATAGATGATTATCATCCACCATACTGCGCTTTAATTTCCTTTGAAAGTAAGATTTCTTATACGAAGTGTTGGTGAAATCTATACAAATAAATAAAATTGAAGTGTCTGTTTGTAATGTCAAAATAACAGCTTTTTACTAAATGTATATGAAAGTATATACAGTACAAAAACAGATACTAATAGGCTACTTTTAATTTAGAAAAAGAATTAGGATTCCGCGCAAAAAAAATCCCATGAAATCCAATCGTAATAAAATCCACACGGAAAGTCGCGGCGAACAGCTATATAATTTGCCTTATGAAATTCAACTTTCATAAGGCAAAGGTCGTTGATGCTGCGTGCCGCTTGTGCCACGTTGCTGCCACGATGGTACTCATGTTCCATAATTACTCTATTTTTTAACGTATGCATGATGACGAAAAAGATTCAAATGCAATGAAAACATCACGCTAATCCATAAGCAAATGATTTATTTTGAAAAAGAGTTTCATGATTTTCAAATAAAATCAATTTGAAATTAGAATTATTAGGCAATCAAAAATTCTATTGATTTGAAACGGCCAGTACTACAGAACAGCGTTTTCATAGGTAAAGGCCTATTATACTATAACTAACATGGTTTTTTATGTTAGTGACCTATTTTTTTAACATCGATATTCAAACAGATACCGTATACATAGATTTCCAGAAAGCGTTTGACAAAGTCAACCCTGAACTACTTCTTAAAAAATAGCATTTAATGGTTATTCCATTAAATGCTATTTTATATGGCCATTACTCCAAAACAATAACAGTAACATTTGGTGTGCCACAGGGATCAATCCTTAGTCCGTTGCTCTTCATTCTCTTTATAAATGACATAAACGAATGTTATAACCACTTAAAATTTTTATTATACGCTGATGATCTAACGACTAATAACACTATAAAAATATAAGTGATTGTTAACTATTTCAAGACCTTAATGATTTGAGTTTGTACTGTCTAAAAAATTAACTTTATCTTAGTATCCCAAAAACATACAATATCTTTTACTAAAAACAAAAATGTGGTTAAATTCAACTATATCCTCTGTGACAAACTATTGCACAGGCTCTTTTCTTCGAGATCTTATTGTAATTTTGGATCTTGATCTTAAGATCTTGTCGTGAGATCATCAAATAAATTCAAAAAGAGTTCAACATATTTGTATCTGTTTAGTGAAGTAAAGTTGCAGCCTATTTACGTCCCACTGCTGGGCACAGGCCTCCTCTCATTTCTGAGAGGGTTTTAGGGCAAGGAAATGTCCGCCGCGCTGCCCCAATGCGTGTTGGCGAACTTCAGACGTCTTTGAAATATTTCTTTTTCTTATTTCTCAGACATGCAGGTTTTCTCGCGATGTTTTCCTTCACCGCCGAGCACGTGGTAAATCAGAACTTAAAATTGCAATTAACAATTTCATTGGTGCCGGCGGGGATCGAGCCCGGGTTGCTCGCGTACTGTGAAGCTTACAGCGAGCGCTAACCATCTGAGCTACTACGGCTCAGATGGTTAGCGAGCTTGTATCTATTTAAGCAAATTAAAATATACTTGTGTTATGGGACCTCTAATATACAAAATATAGTGAAGCCATAGAAAGAGTTCAAGGCAAGTTTTTACGCACCATGAATTATCGTCTTAAATATTTTACCTTTTTAAATGATAAACTTCAGGTTAAATATATCTTGGTTACAATGTGATCGAAACGTTTATTATTGCAGGCTATGCTTTTGTTTAATTTTGTCATAATAAATTTGATTAAACAGCGCGTTTAGAGCAGATAGGAATAAGAGTACCACGGCATAATAACTTACGCAGTGTTCGCCGACGATGTGCATTCGGGGTTAGTTCTTGCCGTAATAAAACCGGCAAACGCATACCACTGCGACGGTTGATGTCTATTTTTAGATTCAGATATTTTTGCAACACCTATACCCAAAGTCAAAAAACAACTATTGCTGCACTTAAAAACACGTTGTACGTTACATGTTTTTCTTTTCTTTTTTATATGTTAGTAATATTATGGATAAATATATTGTGTAAGTTTATTTTTGTTTATACTAAGCAAATACTAAGTAAGAACTGAATAACGTAGTTGATTGTACAATTACCCACTTCAATTTTAATTGAAACTATTATCATTTGTAATATTCATTGTACTGTTTTTTAACCAAATAAAAAAAATATAAGATTTTTTAAAATATATCAATAATTTCAATAAGAAGGAACCTTCTAAAATTAGTAAAACTGCCCAGTTATAATGCCGTTATCAGACATCCAGCAAACAAATTCAACAAACATAAAAAAATAAAAGACCAAAAATTTAAAGACAACTAAAACTTTTCTTATATTGTTCTCGAATAAAAACAGGATAACACGGAATGACTCGTCAATTTTTCATAGTTACGATCATAGGAATCAGTCTAAGCCAGTGTTGCCAACTATATAGATGTATCCGTATTTATACGGATTTTCAACATCGCATACGGATAACTTTCACGTACAGATTTCATATCACATTATCAGCTATCAATATTATAAAAACAAAACAACGATATCAATTGTCTACTGAGACAACAGAGGGTCTGCTACTATACTAAATATTTGTTAGGCGGCACAGCCTGTTTTGATTTCGAAGTAAACTCATCAATTATAAAAAGAAATGTATGATTTTATATAGGTTAATGAAATTCTTATCAATCCTTATGTTTATTGCGGCGGCGGTTTCGCGATTATTTTAGATTATTCTAATTGTCGTTAGGTAATAAGTATTTCCTTGTATGTTTTTTTTGCAATTGCTATTTTTATACAATATTCTTACTAACGAGTTGACTGTAAATTCAAGAAAAACAACTTCCTTCTGCGTGAATCCCATATCTCTGGTGCCCCTTGACCTACAGGACCCAAATTCAAACTCGACCGAGCTACTACCTCAAGGTATCTACATACCAAATTTAAAGTCAATCGGTCCAGTGGAACGGAAGTTATCGTGTCGGCATACAGACTAACAGACTGCCAGCTAAAACCATTAACTTCCTTTCAATGCTACGCAGAAGGAAGTTAATAATAAAGACATACGGAATTTATACAGATTTTAAGATCCCAGTACAGATTTTACTTCATATAAGGTTGGCAACACTGGTTCAAGCTGCAGTTGTCTCTCTCATTTGTCTAGGTCACGGTCGTTACGGACGGTCGCACGGCACGATAGAACTAAATCGTTAAAAATACTAAAAACGCTACTTGGAGCATCTCGGTTAGGATGACTGATTTCTTCTTTGTTAGCACATGTATACTTGGGGAAATATAATTAGTAATGTCGGTTTTAAAAATTATCGATTATTAATTATGTACCCAAAATCTGCATTTTCAAGAGCCTTGCAGGTTTAATTGAAACTGGAATATGTCTCAGTAACACAAACATATTCCAGGTACACTTAATGTTCTTATAAATTATTATTAAAACCATATTTACCTTGCAAAATACCTCGCGTAGAGCCTGCCAGCTACCACCCTCTTCCCAATCCCCTTAACAATGTACCACAGAGTGGCCATCGATAGCAGTACCACGATGGCGGTTAGGATCGGGAGGTAGGCGGCATCTGGCTCAGCTGTCATACGGGGCTGGCATTCGTCTGTAACCACCTCCGACAGGTTGAGGGAGTACTGACCAAACTCGCCAAATGCGTATGTGCCTGAAGCAAAAACAAAGACGTTATGTAACAATTGACAGCTTCGTGGTGTAGTAGCTTTACATTGAGTTTCAGTGCTCAAGGTTGCTGCTTCAAATCCTGCATAGAACACGTATTTATATGACCTAAAAATAATTGTTCCGCGTCTGGATATTTGTCCCAATGTAATCTATGTATGTAAAATGCCTTCACATTACAGGACAAAATCCTAGTGCAAGGTCGTCATTGAGGATTGACAAATGGTCCATTTGAAAATGCCGAAAGCGACACCTATAGACTGGTGATAGGAAACAACATATAGAATGCGAAAATATTGCCTTTATGCTCACTAATTTACCCAAATTAGACAATTTTATGTGATAATATAAAAATAAAAAGTGTTTTGAAAATATTATAAGAAATTTGTTTATGTCCAATTTTATCTTAACTAACTATTTTTTGACTTAAGCGCTCTCTGGAAATTTTACAGAATGCGAACGACCACAATTCAATCTCCACTGGTGACATTGAAATTATTCATTGCAATTTTAAGTGTTACTTCACAATGTGTTTGGCTGTGAAGGAAAATATAATGAGAAATCTAGCTGAGGATTAATTTTTGAATGGCAATCACAGGAATGAAAGGGGGCTTATGTCCTGCGGTAGGACATATGTAGCCTGTAATTTTGTAGTTTAAATATTCAGAAAATTTAGAAATTGTAACACTAGGAGTCTATGCGGGTAGGTACCACCCACTTACTTATATCTGCCACCAAGTGGCAGTGTGTACACTGCTGTATTCAGCTCTGAAGAATACGGAGAACCAGTATAATTAGAGGCTTACTACCCATCTGTAGCCTTTGTTTGAAGTTGATTGAAGGTTTCCATGGACTTCAGTAGCCACTTACCATCAAGTAAACTGAGAGTTCATATTTAATTTTAACTTTATAAAGAAAAGTAAAATTACAAACATAATTATATAAAACAAAAAAAAACTTAACGAAGTGAATGCATCTAAAGTAGTCTTGGCGCAAGGCTTTAGCATATTAATGTTAATAAAATTCAGGTTTCTCAACTTGTTAAAGTTGTTATGCAAATAATGCTATGTGGCAAGTGATACCTTGAAATAACTTTTTACATAGAAATATATTTTTCAACAACAAATTGCATTGATATTGAATATAAATCAAATAAAAAATAATTAGGCAATTTGTACTATGCCTAGTGTACTGTACTAAACAGATAATGGTCCGAGATCTCATGACACATTTTTCATGAAGTGTTTGATGCATCATGAAACTTTGATAAAAAGTATCCGTCCTCTCAATAAGCAGGTATATGACTGTCTGCCTGGCCTACCTGGGTACACCTCGTACTGCGCATACAGGTAAGTCGCAAAAAAATTTGCCCAAAAAAAGTATTAAATTCAAATAATAATAATGACTATCCGTCAGTTAAGTTGATAAAGAATTAAGAAAAAAACATGGCAGGCACTTCTGAAGGGGTTTACATAGGGTCAGATTAACCCAAAGTTGTATTATCAAAAATTCCAAAAAAAGTATTTGATTTAATCTGCCATTTTTACAGCGTTATTTATTTGTATAAATTTTTTAATTATTAACCCCTGAAGAAGTTACGTTACGACAGGCTGTTTTCCGCAACTTCACGTCTATGCGCGAATTTTGCGTGTGGGCAGGAATAATATGATTATTCGAGCCATGAGATCTCCCCGAAGAAGCTCAACAGTGCTTTGATGTTGCATGCAACTTTGGGGAGTGACCCCAGTGTGCCGTGATGTTTAGCCCTGTACAAAGCATCCTCCAGACATTTCAGTAGCACATGGGCCGCCGTTTCTTCCTCCCCATACATGCTCTGCACAGGGGAATATCTGTAACACCTATAATAAATAAATGTTAGCTAAAGGTGCCGTGTCCTATGATAGCACTTGTTACTATCCTGATCTGCGGCTTGTTCAGTCTCATTAAAACTTTGGTTAAGCGAGTGTTTATTTCAGGGAGGGCCTCCCTAGCTTGTCTGCAGTCTACTAGATTTTTCCAAAGCTGAGCGTGTTGATTAGTGAAGTGTCTACGTACCAGTAAACGAACGTTACCAAAGGGGATTGGTATGATTGGTTCCGGCCCTATAGTGGCCAGAGCCGATCCTCTTCTGGCCAGTTTGTCTGCTGCACCGTTGGCTCTGGATCCACTGTGTCCCTTTATCCATTGCAGCGTCACATTGTTGTTTTTACATACCTCATTTAATCGTTGATGGCATTCATATATTAGCCCCGAGTTCAACACATTGCAACTCAGAGCTCGTAGTACTGCCCAACCCCCGGAGAAACTGTCTGCCCTTTTGTGAGAATTTTTTACTATATATAATAAGCACGCTGTAAAAATGGCAGATTGAATCAAACACTTTTTTTGTAATTTTTGAAAATACAACTTTGTGGTAGTCTGCCCCTATGTATACCCCTTCAGAAGTGTCTGCCATTTTTTTTTTCAAAATTCTTTATAAACTTAGCTAACGGATAGTCATTATTATTATTTGAATCAAACATTTCTTTTGGGCAAATTTTTTTACAACTTACCTGTATGCGCAGTACCAGGTGTACCCAGGTACAGGCATATACCTGTTTATTGAGAGGACTGATAATTTTCAACAAAATTTCATGATGCATCAAACACTTCATGAAAAATGCATCATGAGCTCTCGGACCATAATGTAATAATGGCATTTTGAACAATGCATATTTATTTATCATTTGCTTTTTTATTCCTTTCTTAAAAACATTACCCCCACACTAGCATTTTCACCTGTATTGTGGAAGCAGTTTACAAACATAAATTGCACAAGAACAATTATCTAGGCCCGGAAGAATTATTTACACTTTTTCTGTGTGGGATTTGAACTCACAGCCCTCAATGCCTCAATTCATTGCTAAGCCAAGCCATATCGCCATGAAGCCTTCTAATTTTATCGATAACTATACTATTAGTGTAGTCTCAACACTATCACAGCACTATTTATTAAAATTGTATTGACAGATAAACCTTAATGTAACAAAATAACACTTGGGAGGCATCAATAGTTATTTTTTAAACTATTGACATTTTCTCGTCAAACAAATATATTGTATGAATATGATTTATATAATATATATGTTACTGTAAAAGCCCGAATTTTGGTGAATCTTAGGTTTTACTTTTAAATCCTAGGATTTACCAACATGAGCTGGTAAATGTAAGGATTGATATAAAATGCGATGATTTTTCGCACTTTTACTGTTAGAGTTTGGTACATCCTAAGTTTAACCAAAGACTACCAGTAAGTGTTGGTTTTGGAAATGAAACAATATATTTATATAAGTAGAAAGTGTTTATTAAACATTGAATCATATTACCTGCATAATTTTAAAACAGTTTTATGGTGATTTCTGAAAGTAGAATATAGAAAAATAAAGAGGCTTGTTTTTTGAAAGTAGAATATAGAAATAAAGAGATGATGTATCGATTCACAACAAATCGATTTCTAAAATATCGATATTTTTCCACAGACTGGCTCATTGAATATTCTTAGTGAAGAGAAATAAAAACAGCGCATAAAGATGTTTTCAAAGAATTAATTAAAGCAATGCAATATGTGTATAAAATTGATTAATAAATTATGTCAAAGAAACGAATTGATTGACCCCGACTCCACCTGGTACAAATCTGTCCTACCCTTAGAGTGTTTTTATAAAGCCGAAGGCGCATAGGGGGAGCAGCCTGCTGCGGAGGGATGCCTGCGATTTGTTACGCAAAGGTGTAGAGGCTGCTCTTCCCGCAGCACCGGAGAGGTTGCAGTCTCAAAATAAAAACAGGGTGACACAGGTAGCGGGGAGGGCTGCACATTGTCCGCAAGTACGGTAATGCGTGGAACATGTCTAGACATTAATATTTTTCAACATTTACCGTGTCTTAGCGGCAAAACCTAAGATTTACTGAGTAAATGCTTGTAAAAGTCCGAAATAAACGATTACCAAAGAACACTTTGGACTTTTACCTTATGGACTTGGTAAATCTTAGGTTTTACTGCAAAATCTTAGAATTTACCGTAATTATAGCTTTTACAGTAATATATATATATATATTACATTACATTGGTGACATTTAACCAACGATGAATCATATGACCTGCAAATTATGAATACGATAAACATATAAATTCGATAATGAATTCGTTCGATTGTAATTAAATTGATTAGTGTTAAAAAGTATACTTTTAGAAATTAACGTTTCTTCATTGATGTAAATTGTAAAATAAAACAATGAAGGCATATTTACGCACCATTGCAAATTTGTCCTCGATCGTTTCGAACTGAATATCGTAAGGGGCTAAACGTTTCCACAACAACAACTCCATTGTCATACAAATCTGCTGTCTTCAGCAAAATACAATCCTCACATTCTTCATACTGACTCCAGAAGCTTATTTTTTCAGTCGTAGAAATTTGCAAACATGCTTGATCGTAACGTAGCTTTGTACCGTTGCAGGTCCGTAAAAAGTAACCAACGTTTTCAAAATAGTTGTGGCCCATTTTTGTATTTTCTACATCAGTTATCTAAACATTTGCCAGCACGATTTTCAAACAATGCAATTTACAAAGAACTAAGAACTTAAAAACAAGACAAGAAAAACGAGATATCTGTCGAAATCTGAATCATCAACTCAACATGACAAGTGACAACATTTTTTTTAAACTGGCTTTACGGCTCTGGGTTCTAGCTCTTCTGAGCCTGAAGTAACAATGTATAATTATTCTTCATAGTACACTGCTTCACGATCTGTTGATGCGTCACATTGTGCAGCGCTTGGGAGATTTTGACGGTAACTTGAGCCAGCAGACAATTGACAGTTGGCGGTAGTGTCTCAAGGCGCCTAAGCAAACAGACGCCATATCTTGAGAATCACATCACCATCAGAGCACTTGCTTCACCGTTTCCACTAATAGCTCACATGCCCAGATACTTAATACACAAAATGGCACCACTTTTACATATCAAAATCAACTTCAAACCATTATTTAAACAATAATACAGGAGCAATAATCCGCCACCGGTCAAGTTCTCGCCACGACTCCATACAGTGACAACATTAATAGAGGGATGAGGGGTGGTGTTGCCACCCCTCATCCCCGATTTACAGATATAAAATTTAATATCGATGACCGATTAAAACTATCGATATTCATCATAGTTATTATTATAAAGACTGCTACTAAGTCGTTGATTGCGTGGCCAAGTGGCCAGAGTTCTTGGCTACTACGCTGCAGGTTCTGGGTTCGTACTAGCCCAAACACACTGTGCAGTCCATTCTGCTCTGGAATGCCTTGCCTGTTCATATATAAAAAAAAACAGTAACAAACAATATTTTAAAAGACTAGTTCAAGAATTCTTTAACAGGAATAATACCACCTGATTTATCCGATTTTTGTTTTTCTCTCTCTTTCGCTTTGTAATTGATATTTTGTATAATATGTATTTTAATATGCATCATGTTATTTTATTTTTGTGTTATATTATTTTATATTTATTTAGAGATATTGTATGTATAAGTATATTATATTTGTTTATATATATATAAGTACAGTAAAACCCGCTTAAGACGATTTTGAAGGGACCCAGCCAAAATCGCGACTTAAGCGGGAAAGCGTATTATGCGGGATAGGGAAATTAAACATCATTTACAAATATTGTGTAGGTATTGAATTATAAGTATACGTAACTTGCTTGTCGCATTCGAAGGTAAGAAAACAAGCGTGATGTTCTTTAGTTCAACATCTTTAGTGTGAGCGGAGTTAGTTAGTTAGTTATCAATGAAGAGAATTATGCGTCTACATTTAATCTGGAAGTGATCATCTAAAGCTTTTAACCAGTTAATAAAACGAAGGTCAGTCATCCAAGCTCGAGATTGTGCATCATATGTTACAGGGAGCGATTTCACCTTTTTGAAACAATCATGATTTTACCAATCACTAGCAAACGTAAGTTTTCCGAGCATTCAGAATTTGCACAGGCCAGGACAGTGAGTCTCTCTTTACTTGCTTTGCAACCATGGCAAGTTTCTCTCTTGAAGACATACGATTTATCTGGCATCAATTCATAAAATAAACCAAATTTTATTAAAATTATTCGTCTGCGTTAAAAATGTTTTGCGGTTCATAATTTTTTTAATAATGCAGGAAGTTGTGCTATTCATGTTTCAACATCTTGTTCTGCTACTATCTCCGATTCCCAACTGATTTGACGATACACAATGCCGTGACGATTTTTAAAACGATCTACCCAACCATTTGAAGCGGTAAAATCTGTGATTTGTAAGCTTTCAGCAATTTTACGCACTTTTTCGCATAATATGGGGCCACTTATGGGCAGTTTTAAAGTTCGTGCTTGATTCAAATGATGACAAACGCAGGTACAATACGTAAGTAAACAAATGATAAAAAATGAATGGCGCGCGAAAATTTATTTCAACTTAGTTAACTAAAGTGCGCGGGGTGCGCATACACGCGGGGGAGGAATCAGCAAGGCGGTAAGTGAGCGCGTTCGGCAACTCGGCTCGGCCCGGGTGTTGCGCGGATGGCGTATTAGACGAGATGACGAATCGTATTAAGCGTGTTAAAAATGTATGAAAACATGCCTCAAATTGCAGGGACTGACATAAAATGGCGTATTAAACGTGATCGTATTAAGCGAGTTTTACTGTATATTATATCTGTTTATATATTTACTATTAATTTTTTTTCTTTATTACAAAGTAGATAATATTAAGTTTGTATAGTTTAAAAATATTTTATTTATTTCCTTTTTGTTATAAGATATAATGTTTGTACTTATTTATTAATTTATGAAGTGGTGTTGCACCTACCACAGCTTCTCAAATCATCCAGGGTTGACTGGTAGAGAATGCCACAAGGCATTAAGTCCGCCCTTTATATCCCTTATTATAAGGTAGATGTAAAAAAGAATCATCATTTCATCATTACAGCCCTTCACAAGTCCACTGCTGAACATAGGCCTCCCCCAAAGAATGCCACAAAGCACGGTCCTGAGCCACCTGCATCCATCGACTTCCTGCAAATCTTACCAGGTCGTCACTCCATCTAGTGGGGGGACGCCCTACACTTCGCCTGCCGGTACGAGGCTGCCACTCGAGAACCTTTCTTCCCCATCGGTTGTCGGTTCTTCGAGCTATATGGCCGGCCCATTGCCACTTCAGCTTACTAATCCGTTGGGCTATGTCGGTCACTCTGGTTCTACTGCGGATATCCTCATTTCTGAGTTTATCACGCAGAGAAACTCCGAGCATAGCCCTCTCCATAGCTCGCTGAGCGACCTTGAGCTTCCTCATCCGGCCAGCAGTGAAGGACCACGTCTCAGTTCCGTATGTCATCACTGGCAACACGCACTGGGTGTACAGTCTCGTTTTCAAGTTTTGAGGTATACCTGACGAGAAGATGTGCCGTAATTTCCCGAACGCTGCCCAACCGAGTTGAATCCGTCGATTGACCTCTCGGTCGAAGTTGGACTTACCTAGTCGGACTATTTGTCCCAGGTAAACATACTCGTCAACAACTTCGAGCTTAGTGTTCCCAACAACTACCGGCATAGGTGTGACATGGACATTAAACATGATCTTTGTTTTGTCCATGTTCATCTTAAGACCTATCCGTTGGGAAACACTATTGAGGTCATTGAGCATAGTGCTTAGGTCCTCCAGCGATTCTGCCATAAGGACTATATCGTCGGCAAATCGAAGGTGAGTGATGTACTCGCCATTGATGTTGATACCGTATCCTTTCCAGTCCAGAAGCTTGAAAACATCTTCCAATGCAGCGGTGAAGAGTTTCGGGGATATGACATCACCCTGTCTTACACCTCTCTGCAATTGGATAGGTTTCGTACTCTGGTTCTGTACTCGGATAGCCATCGTAGCCCTACTGTACAAGCACTTCAACACTTCGATATACCGACAGTCAACTTGGCATCGCTGAAGGGACTGCAGCACCGCCCAAATTTCGACGGAATCAAAGGCTTTCTCATAGTCCACATACGCCAGACATAGTGGCAAATTGTACTCCTCGGACTTCTGTACAATTTGCCGAAGGGTATGTATGTGGTCTATGGTGCTAAAGCCTTTTCGGAAACCGGCTTGTTCGGGAGGCTGGAAGTCGTCAAGTCTGCGCGCGAGACGATTCGTAATGACTCTCGAAAACAGCACGTAGACGCGGCTCAGAAGGGAAATCGGTCTGTAGTTCTTCAAGAGAGCGTTGTCGCCTTTCTTGAAGAACAAGACCACCGCACTTCTGCTCCACGCCTCCGGTGTAATGCCACCATGGAGGACGGAATTAAAGAGCTTCTGAAGGACTTCAAGTACCGGTCTTCCACCCGCTTTCAGAAGCTCCGCTGTAATTCCATCCTGGCCTGGGGCCTTGCCGTTTTTAAGGTGCTGGAGAGCCATACTAATCTCGCTCAGACTGACGTCCGGGATATCATCGGAATAATGTCGGATAAGACTCGCTCTTGGATCGTTACTCACACTTGCGTGTGGCTCCAACGATGACGTGTACAGCTGCCCATAGAACCTCTCAATCTCACTCAAAATCTCAGGTGCCCCGGAAACGATGCTGCCACATTCGGTCTTCAGCTTTGACAGTTGGCTCTTTCTGGCAGACAGATCTCTGGCAAAGACTTTGGAGCCTTGGTTCCGCTCGATCGCTTCTTCAATACTCGCTGTATTGAAGTTGCGTAAGTCCCGCCGCATGCATTTGGAGATCTGTCTGTTCAGTTGCCTGTATGCTGTCAAATCTGTTGAAGAATGTAGCTTCATCTCCCGTCTAACAGCCATGAGATTAAGAGTGTGATCGGAGAGTTTTTGTGTTCTTCTGCGGCGGGTCTTGCAGAACTTAGCTCCGACCGCATGGACAGTTTCCACGAGCTTGTCATTCAAATCGTCCACTTCATTGCAGTCTTCTAGGCACTGAAAACGGTTTTGCAACTCGAGCTGAAAGGTTTCGGGACTTTGGATTAGAGCACGAGGGGGACGGAGCGTTGACTTCATTAGACGAGACCTCTCCAACTTAACGTTTAGGTTCAGTGTGCCTCTAACCATTCGGTGATCGCTGCCGGTTTTCACCCTCGCGATCACTGAGACATCACTGAACAGTTGTCGTCTGGTCGTCATAATGAAGTCAATCTCATTTTTTGTCGAACCGTCGGGGCTCGACCAGGTCCACTTCCTGTGGGGCCGCTTCTGGAAGAAAGAGTTCATCATAAAGAGTCCCTCTTTCTCCATGAAGTCGGCCAACTGCTGGCCCCTTGGGTTCCGTTGCCCTATTCCAAATTTCCCCACTTTCAGCTCACCGTTCTCTCTTGTGCCTAGTTTTGCATTGAAGTCTCCCATTAACACCGTATATTGGGTTTTGGAGGAATGCATGGCTCTAGAGATATCCTCATACATTTCCTCCACCTCCTGATCGGGGTGTGCCGAGGTTGGTGCGTAAACCTGTATGACCTTCAGCGAATACCGTTTGGTGAT